TTTAATCGCGCCGTGACGATATCCCTCCAGATCGTCGTATACAGCTTGCGATCGGTGGTTGTCCTAAAGGTAAAGAAGGGATCGATCCATCGGACCGGGATGGACGGTGTAGCGCTGCGGGTGTGAGGAGGATGCCATTTTCTACAAAAAAAAAATCATTACATATATAAGAAAGCTTAATTTAGAACAAAATAAAAAAAAATAGACGAACCATCACAAAACACGGCTAACATAATCGAAACAAACCGTTCAAATCATCCAACTACAAGCAATTATGTACAACAATCCATTTGAGGCATTTTATCGAACACCTTCAATTCATAGTTTTCCAAACAAACTACAAAACTCTAATAAATTTCAAAATAACCAATCAATTTATCACACAAACATATCAACAATTCATCAACATATCTCAATCATTACAAATTCACAAATTAAATATCAAAACAAATGAAAAATAGAAAAAAATTATTAACCCTAACATTATGTTTTTGCTACAAACACACCATCTATATCTCAATTCATCCTTCAAATCGTGAAAATAGACGAAAAATGACAAGAAATGATACCTTGTTTGATGAGTTTGGTGTTGAACTTGTCGAACTTGCTTCTGCCCGAGCTCTCTCCTTTTTTTTGCTCTTACTCTCTGTTGCTCTCTGTTCGCGTAGGAGAAGAAGAAGATTTTTTTTTATTTATATTTACAAACAAAACGTATTCTCAGAATACGTTTCACTTTGTTTTATTTGTGAAACGTATTCTCAGAATACGTTTCATTTTGATTTATTTGTGAAATTCATAAAAACAAAAGAAAAATGGTCGAGGCTCCCAGATTGGGGACTCGAACCCGGGTCAATGGGTGAGTCCGGTTTCTCTGGGCGCACCTCGAACCATTGTGCCGGCAGACACTTTCCGATTATTTTTAAACAAATTATATACATGTACATTATACAATACATTAAATAAAAAATTTGTAATTTATACTATATTTTATATTATATTACCTACTATATGTTATATTATATTATATCATAGTATATAATATAACATATGTTATATATATGTTATATAGTATTATAACATATGTTATATAATATAATATATGTTATTATATACTATATAGTATAACAAAGTATGTTATATTATAACATATGTAATATAACAAATATAAACTACCCTATATTATAAACTACCCTATATTATAACATATGTAATAAATTGACTTCAATTGTACTGAGTTGACTTCAATGTATAAAATTGACTTCAATTGTACTGAGTTGACTTCAATTGTACTGAGTTGTAATTTATACTATATTTTATATTATATTACCTACTATATGTTATATTATATTATATCATATAATTTTTTATATTATATTACCTACTATATGTTATATTATATTACCTACTATATTACCTATTATAATATAATATATATTATTTTATACTATATAGTATAACATAGTATGTTATACTATAACATATGTAATATTATAACATAGTATGTTATACTATAACATATGTAATATTATAACATATGTAATATCATATGTTATATAATATAACATATGTTATATATACCACATGTTTAGGGTTTAGGGTTTAGGGTCTAGGGTTTAGGGTTTAGTTGACTTCAATTGTTAGACATAATTTATGTTTTTGCTTAATCTGC